GGTTTAGGGTTTAGGGGTTAGTGAGGGTTGGGGATCATGGTTGGAGGCTTTCGGGTTGGTGTCGCATCCTTTATCGGTTTAGGGTGTAGGGCCTAATTAGGGTTTACCAGGGGTTTTTGGGATCAGGTTTTGTGGCTCCCGGGTTAAAGTAAAATCAACGGTTCTAGGGTTTTAGGGTAGCCCGGGCGGTTTGCAGTAATCATTCTCGTGCTGGTGTTTGGCAGTAAGTTCGGAAGACACGGCGTAATCAAAGTTGCAACTGCAGCTATCAGGACATTCAGCGGTATCCACCATCATCATCATCACCATCATCATCATCACCATCATCATCATCATCATCATCATTACCATCACCATCACCATCACCATCTCCATCACCATCACAATCACCATCACAATCACCATCACCATCACCACCACCATCATCATCATCAGCATCCGCATCATCATCATCATCATCATCATCATCCTCATCATCCTCATCCTCATCCTCATCATAATCCTCACAATCATCATCATCGTCATCATCACCATCATCGTCATCATCACCATCATCACCATCATCGTCATCATCACCATCATCACCATCATCACCATCATCACCATCTTCACCATCGTCACCATCATCACCATCACCATTCTCATCCTCACCATCATCATCATCATCGTCATCATCGTCATCATCATCATCGTCATCATCGTCATCACTACCATCATCGTCATCATCACTATCATCAGCATCATTACCATCATCACCATCATCACCATCATCATCATCATCATCACCATCACCACCCTCATTATCACCTTGTCATCATCATCATCGTCAGCGTCATCACCAACATCATCATGACCCGGATGGCGGTGATCATCATAATCATGATGCCGAGTCTCGGTATCATCAACATCACCATGATGATGACCGTCGTCATTATCACCACCCTTTCATCATCGCCACCGTACACATCAGTAGTAGCATCTTCATTTGGCCTAAGCGTCCCCAGAAGGTCCGCAAGATGGATCCTACTACGACCATAAAGATGTACCGGTAGTCATGTCATCAGCTATGTTGGCATTTTACTTCCGGCACTGGCAGCACTCGTTTTTCGTTGTTGTGACGCAGATCAAGGAGATTATTTTGCTGTTGATGATGGTGGCAATGGTGTTGTTGGCCTTGCAGTCGTGGCAATCGCGGACAAGACCAAACCCTAAACCCATAACCCTAAACCCCGAATCGTAGACCCATAACCCTAAACCCATAACCATAAATCCTCAACCGATGACCCTAAACCCTAAACCCATAACCCTAAACCCGCAACCCTAAACCCCGACATCATGACACCAACCTGCACCAAGTTCAAGAAGCCTCTTGGGCTTTGGCCTCTCAAATTTCGCAGATGAGGGCTTCCAACAAAATTTTCACAGGTAATGTTTAGGGTTTAGGGTTTAGGGTTTAGGGTTTAGGGTCCCTTGTTAACCGTACTTATGCCTCCCTTAAACAGGACCTCATTGAAAGGGTCTGAATTCCCAAGGGTCCCCCTAATCCTAACTCCTACTTTTTTTGTTTCCACAAGGGGTCCTTCGATTTACGGCTTGTATTACTATCAGGCTTCCTAAAGTCTGAAGCTTTCACATGGCCCCCTGCAAGGTCACCAGCAAGTATGACCAGAAGGGTGTGATGGCATACGAGCATCTCGGCAGTGATCCTATACCCTAACTTTTGTTATGCGAGGTCCGGTTCACATCAGAGGTTTGGTGGGTGTAGAAAACTCAAAAGTGTGTGCTTTGGGTTTTGCTGTGGGAATGGGGAGACTAGTATCGCATATCCGTTGAGGACTATCCGAAACCCTAAACCCTAAACCCGTGTAAGGCGGCTCAGGGCTCAGGGCCTTAAGCAGCGAAGTGTCGGGCACCGAAAGCCCCTGCACCCCAAACCCTAATCCGGTTCAAGGTTTAGGGTGTAGGGTTTAGGGTTTAGGGCCGTAAGCCCTAAGCTCCACACCAGAAAGGTTGTACGTTGTGGCTCGCCCACAGCGCGCAAGACCTAGGAGAAGAGTTGTTGTTGTTGTTGCTGCTGCTGTTGTTTTTGTTTTTTTCTTTGGGCTTTCATATGGGTGGTTGTCAAAATTAGGGTCCCTTTTTGGGTACCCTAAATATTAGGTGCCGTATTATAATAAGGACCCAAAATGGGACCATAATTTTGACAACCACCCATATATTTTCATGAGGTTTTTAGGATGTGTAAGGGCTTGATATGGGAGCCTTATCAGTGCTGTCCATACGACTTGGGATAATACAGAGGCTTGAGTAACTAGGAATAAAATCACGTTTTAGGGTCCATGGGGTCTTACAGGGCCGTACAAGGGTTTATAGATTTATAAGGGTTTAGGAATGATTAAAAAGACTATGCCTTAAGAATCCGTACATAGTTGTGTTAGTGTTTGCCCCCCCCAAAAACCGATTCCAATTGTTCAGGCCACTATGTTCCCTCGAAAGTGTACGCTATACCCCTTAGTTTTAGGATTTAGGGTGTTTGGTGTTCTTGGGTATCGGCATTATTGAGCGCTCTGAGAAGAGGCTTCAGGGTGGAGGGTTTTATAGGGATGCAGGGGCTAAGGGTTTGCGGTTCAGGGTTGGGGGTGCAGGGATTGAGATGTTTAAAGGATTGCGTGTTCAGTATTTAGTACTCAGTGCTCGGGACTCCAAAATTTGATTGCTTAGGCTTGGGGGTTTCAGTTTGTACGGAGCTTGGCTTTAGTCGTAGGGCTTGGGACAGCCGGCAAGAGTTGTGATTGACTCTCAGCCCAAAGCCCTAAGCCCCGTAGGACCCTGAACCGCTATACAACCCAATAAACCCTTATACCCCAAACCCTGTTAAACTCCTTTAGAACCTCAGAAGACTGTGATACGCAAAAAGCCCAGGACGAAGGATCTGGAGAAGAAGCTCCACTACATTCGGCACTTCGTGGAGACCTACAAGGCTTCATGGGACCGGGTTTGGACATGTTTTCGGGGCTTCAGAGTTTAGGGTTTAGGGTTTACCTTAACCTGCCGAAACCCACGTTTTTGTAGGTTCTTCCTATAAGCCCTAATATGGGTTTTATAGAGACCCTACAAAAAAGTAGGTTCTGGTGTTTTTAGGTAGGGTTCAGGGTTTTTGGGAGTTTTCAGGCACTTTGGGGGTGAGGGGTTCAGGGTTGATTGTGGAGCGGGCCTGAGAAAGGCGAAAGAAGCCTAAACTCTAAATCCCAACAGGTCTGAAACCCTAAGCCCTCTGCTGAAAGAGCAGTACAGGTACAGATTAGCATTGCGATGTGACACGCGCTAAACCCTAAACCCTAAACCCTAAACCCTAAACCCTAAACCCTGCACAAACCCAAAACCCTCAACCTGAGCCCTGAGCGAGGTAGACCTGGAAGGTGTGGAGGGCTTGCAAGGGTGCGGCAACGAGGACCTTGCTTTCCTGCTGCCATGGTTGCAGGGCTGTTTAAGGCATTCGGGTGTGAGTGATAAATGCTGTTTGTGCCATTTTACGTTGGGCCGGTGGCCAGGAGTGGGTTTATGCAGTTTAGAGATGTATAGCGTTTCAGGTATAGCGTTTGGCAAGGGCCGGTGCCTAAACTCTGTATGTATATACGATGTATAGCATTTAGCGTATAGCGTTTAGGGACTCTCTGATGTGACGCGAAATTCTCAGATTTAGGGGCTGAAATTATTCTGTTCGCGTAAAAAATCCCATGTCAGAGTGGACCGCCCGAAGGGGTGGGGGTCGCCAGCTAGGCAAAGCGCGCCAAATTCTAGACCCTATAGGGGCCGAAAAATAACGGCAATACTTTCTTAATTATTGTAATTAAAGTATAACATGCCCCAAAACCCTATTTTAAGTATTAAGGCCACTATATTGTATTTTTCCCACACGCACAGCTGACAGAGTCGCACCGCAGGGATCATGTAGAGGTATATAGGTTCTAGGGTTTCGGGTTTGGGTGTGTTTATGGGTTTCGGGGTTTGGTCTGCAGCGTAAAGATCCAAAACTGATTAGAAGCATCCCTAGGACCTAAACCCTAAACCCTAAACCTCGTAGGTAGTTTCTGTCTGTTGACTCATTGCTGGATCGTTGAGGAGCCGAACCATAGGCTTTGGGCTTAGCGTTGTAAACGCAAAACCCTAAAGCTAGCCCTAAACCCTAAACCCTGAACCCTAAGGCTAGCCCTAAACCCTAAACCCTAATGCTAGCCCCAAACCCCAAACCCTAATTTTAGCCCTAAAGCCTAAACCCTAAACCCTAATTCTAGCCCTAAACCCTAAACCCTAATGCTAGCCCCAAACCCCAAACCCTAAACCCTAATGCTAGCCCTAAACCCCAAACCTAAGGCTAGCTAAACCCCAAACCTAGTGCTAGCCGGCTGCAGGACCCCTCAGTTCACTTGCGAGCACCAACCCTAGGGACCCTCAGGCCGGTAAAACCATTCTTAGGGTTTAGGGGTTAGGGGTTTAGGGTTCTTAAAGGGTTCCTTAAAGGGCTCCTTAAAGGGATCCTAGGGTTTGGGTTTTCAGGGTTTAGGGGTTTGGGGGTTTAGGGGTTTAGGGGTTTAGGGTTTAGGGGTTTAGGGTCTAGGGTTTAGGGTTTAGGGTTTCAGGGCTTTCTAACTCCGAAACCAGAACGCTGTAAACCGTTACGGCCTTAGGATATGTAAGAATCCTAAACACCCTACGCCGCAAAAACGGCACGCCTCGCCCTTGTAGAAATCTTGTTGTGACCATGCAGAGCTTATTCAGGAGCCTTTAAAGGAACCCTTATAGATCCCTTGCCTTCGACTTCTCCCTTAAAGGAACCCTTGCAGATCCCTTAAGGGAGCTCTAGACGGAGCCCTTACTAAGGAACCCACCCTAAACCCTAAACCCTAAACCCTAAACCCTAAACCCTAAACCCTAAACCCTAAACCCTAAACCCTAAACCCAAATCTCGCGTCAGGATGCCTGCATTGCAAAGGCTGGCGAGATCTTTCCGACCTACAACCACTTCTTCTATCGCCGCACGTCACCAGTTCTTTTTTCTTTTCGGTGGGGTTTCCTTTTCTTTTTGGTGGGGTGTCCAAGGGTTCTTGTTGAGGTGTTCAGGGGCTTGAGAAAGAGGTGTCTTCTGTTATTTGGGGTCGATTTCGGGTGTGTTTTTACAGTTGCGGTTTCTTGAGGATCTGTAGTGTTCGGGGCTTCGGGTTCCAAGGCTGTTTTTGGGTTGCTGGGGTTCGGGCTTTCCAGAGCCCTACTAAACCCGACCTTTAAAAGGACCAACAGCCCTGGACCAAGGGAAGCTCGCTCTGGGTAGTCGGAAGATGCTATGCTACAGCCAGGACCTGGCGAGCTTTCTCCCGTGGTTTCTGCAGGGTGGTCGGATTCTTTTAAGATTGGGTTTTGAGAGTTCTCCCATACGGCTTTGATACTTGTCTTACACAGGTTTGATGGGTTTTGATACTTGTTTTACATGAGTTTAATGGTTTTGATATCTGTTTTAGCTTATGCAACCTCTCGTGGCCCCATGCCAAATACATGTTTTCAGGCTTTTCAAGGTTCTAGCTTCAACCTTGCGTGGGCATGGGGGATGGGGCTTGATGATGCACATTGTTTATTCAGAGCCTCTTTTTGGGATTCGTACTCAGAGATTGGAATGTAGGGTTAGGGTCTAGGGTTTCGGGTCTAGGGTTAAGGGGGTGGGGGTTTGGGCTCAAGGTTCGAAGGTTTAGGAGGGTTTAATAAAGCCTGACGGTGACAAGGCAAGCTGCGCCAAGTTCTTGGACTCTGAGCGTCCTTGAGCCTCAATACCCCCAATCCGACACCTGCAAACCCCGAGACAACCCCAAGGTTTAGGGTTTCGGGTTCTGGGGCCCCTAAATCCGAGAGCAGGACGCAGGTGAGTGCCAGGAGATCGACGAGAACGCTCGCGCCACGAAGTGCCTCGCCTACAGAGAACCCGGGTCGGGCTCCCCGCGTTAATATAGGGGCCTTTATGATCAGAATCGGTTGTTGTTGGGACTGGATTGTAGTATATCCATCCTAGGCCTGCAGGGACTAGGGTGCTATCGGGTTTTATAGTAGAGCTGAACGGCTCTTGTCGGAGTTTGCGTGGCGGGACCTCAAAAATGGATCCTGTTTCTATGAACCACTCATTGTGAACCACTCTCATCTAGAGGCACTCAGTGTGAAGCTGAATGTCAAGATGGAGAGTTCAGGGTTCTGATTGGCCGAAAATCAGGAATCAATCAAACGAAACGTGAGC